ATATATATATAGGTAATATATATATATTATTAAGTATATATATATGTATGTATGTATAATATATATATATATGCGTGCGTGTGTGTGTGTGTGTGTGTGTGTGTTTGGCTATGTGTGCATCTCAAGCGCTACCTGTTCTCTAAGCTATCTAAAACTGAGGGTACAATTGTCTCTGCCCTGTCCTCTTGCAACGAAGGACGTTCCGCACCTCCCGGATACAACGCCTAGACGAAGACACAGACCTCTCTACCCTGCGCAAATGGGACAAAATGTTCGAGAAACTGGGCCTGAACACTTACAAAGAAACATTCAAACAAAATCTCATGACGGATAGACAGGTACGTGACAGTACATGTGCGCAAAGGGGGGGGGTTTGTGCTATAGAGGATTAAGGTTTTCTACAACCCGATACCACTGTGTGCATATCTTCACGTTTTAATCTACCCACTTCATGATTTGGAAATGTATTCGAGGGTTTTTAAGGTTTTATTAAAATAACTTAGTGAGTAGGAAATTGAGTAACCGCTTGTATATTGTGGAGTGTCTCTTACACTATGCTCTCCTCGATAAATGTAAATTTAAATATTATTGTGCTCGATTGAATGCCTTGAATATATATATATATGTGTGTGTGTGTATGTATGTATATATATATATCACTGATTCTTTTGGCAAGAAATGCCCTCTGTAAATCACGAATTCTTGACCATTTCCGTTTATCACAGTAGATTGTGCTGTTGCTGTGTTGCACATTAGCTATCATTAGTATGCGCACATTAACTCGTTTGTTGTCTTCCGTCTCTTGTGCTTTCACGCTCAGCTGCGTCAAAAAGCCGCGGTGAAAAGGACAAAGGTCTTCAGAGCTGCAGCTGCTGAATCTGGGATACCCTTCCAGAAGACGGAGGAGGTAAGTCATGCACTGTACACGTGAGAGTGCTGCACTGCGTGTGTATACATAACCATCCTTAGATGTGCACGTGCACGAGCCGTTCGCATATATCTCCGTGCAGCCCAAACATAAATACATACGTACATACATACATACTACGTATCCAGCAGCATGAAACGCGTACTCATGCTGAACGAGCCATATACGTCCGTGGAATTGACGTGACACTCGCGTTCATGCACAAACACACTTTAATCCCTACATCTGCACTCGCATCTGTGTATATGTGTGCTATCTCATTCTATACCCTTCGTGTACTGGCAATAGGAGTACAACGCATTTTTAAAGGCGAAGGCGGCACAGAGAGGCGTGACCGCCCCAGAGAAAGCCAAGCCGACTTCCAGTCCCAAAGGCGAGGTAGGAGGTGCACGTGGGGTAGGGACTGTATGGGATTGGCCTTGTCTTTTATATGTGAGTGAGTGACGCTTGATGTGGTGTAGTAGGGCATAGCAAAGACAAGGAACCCCCTAAACCCCAAAGAGGTGGGTGGTAAAAACGCCTACCTGAGTTGCTTGTAGTGTACAGCGCGTGTGTGTGTGATCTTATGCTGTTGGGATATAGAAAAGAATGGGAGGACTTTTAACTTGTTAGGGTTTTAGGGTTTCGCAGGAAAGGCGAGCTGATAGGGTTTTAAGGTTGAGGGTTTAACGCAGTACACCTGGGGATGTCCTTGTAAAGGGCTAGCAATGTGTCGTATATGGAGCTATTGGAGTTCATATGTCCCAGGATAAAACATAGGAAGACAGAATCGAATGCACACCCCTATATAGCAGTCTACACACATCCGCAGACAGCCCCGCGTTCTCATAGAGATGTGTAAGCTCTCCATCCTTCTCACTCGTTTATATACATTTATATATATACTTATATAAGTATATACGCACATATCCCTCCCCGCCTGTCTCATTCGCCACCACAGTCAGTCCAAGTGGACAGCACAAAGATGGTGGGGGCCGCAACGGCCGCAGCCACCAGCGCAGTCGATTGGGATACTTCATCGGATGAAGCTACAAATGTATGTCAGGTCCACATGTGTGTGTATAGTGAAATTACTTCGTGTTTGTGTTTGTACTTAGGCATCAGATGAGATTGGAAATGCATGTCCCGTGCATGTGTATGTACATGTACATAAGATGAGACTATAAATGTGTGTCACGTTGACAATCATATGTGTGTATATACTGTATGCGTGTACGGAATCACGAAGGTGTGCCACGCCAGATTTGTGTAGTGTGTCGTGTAGGCGTCTCTAGTTTTGATGTGCATGTAGTACTACATGTGTCTTAAGAGTGTAAAGCTCTCATTGATACGATTGTATTTAACCGGATCAGGTCGTATAGCATCTCAATAAACTATCATGGTGTGTCTGGGGTTGTTAAGGACATGCGGGCCTGTGCTGGTTATAGTGAAACTCTCGCATGCAAGGATGTGCCTGACCAGAGTTGGCCGCAGTAGATGAATTATAGTTATAACTTCCTAACCCCTAAACTGCTAACAACGCTTTGGTAAAGGGTAACCATGGCAACGATTCAGGCGAAAGGCCCCTTAGCCCGAAAGATCTTCATAAGCAATTGTAAGTTTCCGTGTGAATTCAGGTTGAATGCGGTGTTGCAGACATGTGCTCTGGTACGAATGTATTCGAAGTATTTCACCTTCTTGTCGTATGGATATGGATATAAACTAACATATATATATATATATATGTATCTATGTATGTGCTTATGTGTATATATGATGTGTATGTATATATATATATATGTGTGTGTGTGTGTATCCCGTAGTGCGTTCATCACATTTGTAAGTTACCGTCTTGTTTTCATCATGTGCGGAGATGATTTCGATCTTGTAAAAGCTGTTACTTTGAGGGTATATATCTGATAGTGTGGCTGGAGCTATGAATTGGATCCTAAAATGTATTTTTACGGTGGATAATCCTAGATGTATGATTAAGGTGGGTAATCCTAGATGTGTGATTACGGTGGGTAATCCTATATATATATGATTATGGTGGGTAATCCTACATGTACGATTACGGTGCATAATCCTACATGTATTTACGGTACATAATCCTAGATGTAAATTACGGTGGGTAATCCTACATGTAAGATTACGGTGCATAATCCTACATGTATACTTACGGTGCGTAATCCTAGGTTTGTGATTACGCTGGGTAATCCTACATGTATGAATACGGCGGATAATTCTAGATGTGTGATTACGATGGGTCATCCTACATGTATGAATACGGCGGATAATTTTAGATGTGTGATTACGATGGGTAATCTTACATGTATGATTACGGCGGATAATCCTAAATGTATGAATACGGTGGGTAATCCTAGATGTATCAATACGGCGGATAATTCTAGATGTGTGATTACGATGGGACATCCTAGATGTATCAATACGGTGGGTAATTCTAGATGTGTGATTACGATGGGACATCCTAGATGTATGAATACGGGGGATAATTCTACATGTGTGATTACGATGGGTCATCCTAGATATATGATTACGGTGGGTAATTCTAAATTTGTGATTACGATGGGTCATCCTAGATATATGATTACGGTGGGTAATTCTAAATTTGTGATTACGATGGGTCATCCTGGTCACAGTCTTTGCAGTCGTAAGCCTATTGTGTTCTCGATATAATTTGTGGGTCTCGTTGTGGAATCATATACAACTCGTGACGAGCGCACACGAGTGTGTTGGTCTCCTAATTAGGATGCACTTATACTCGCAGTCTGTATACGTCACTTCACTAACCGTATGTACTTGTACACTCCTACCTCATCTACAATCTGACGGAACAAATCTGTCGTCATGAATCTACTTGTTTATCTCTACCGGTCTATCTCTATCAGTCAAAGTCCAGGATACGATGTTGACCCGGACATGTACGACGAAGATGGGTATCCCATATTCGACCAATCCAAAACCGAGTTAGCCTACGAAGCAGCTGGAAAGGGTGCGTGGTATCGAGAACTCGAGCAATGGGCCGAAGACATGGACCCCAAAGACGCCAAACGGATCTACGAAGAGGTTTGGGCGGAGGAGGCGGCCCGAAAAAAAGGGATCGAGGGCAAGGGCCAGGACTCTGCGCTCGGGGACGGAGCCGAGAGCGAGACTGGTGAGATGCATGAGTATGGCAAGGACTTAGAGGAAGTGGGGGCCAGTGAGGATGAGGCGATGAAGTACCGTGAACAGTACAGGTGAGAAGACTTGTGTGTATGCATGTGTGTAGATGTGTGTGTATATGTGCATGTAGGAATATATATATGTTTCCATATGTGTGAATGGTTATGTATCTACCTATGTGTGTATAAGTATGTGTTTACATATGTGTATATGTGTTTTCATATGTATATATATGTGTGCGTGTGTGTGTGCTAGTCGTATAGTTCTATTGGCGGTTTTTCAACATGTTTACCTTTGTTGCATGTCCGTTCATTTCTTTCCATGCTCGTCATGTTTTCAAGATACTGTACAGATATACGAGACCAGCAGTACTTGTTTTAGCTGCATGTAGTATTATATGTATATATATATATATATATATATATGCATATATGGCGCGACAGCCTAATTCAACATCTGTGCTGTGTTTATTGCATCCCTGAAACGACGTGCATTCGGTACTACCGTTTCATCGCGAATGTGTGTGTTTTGCTTGTGCTTGTGCTAACGCACCCACCTATACTTATGATAAACCCAAGTGGCCACAGTTGGCGTCTCTGGCATTAACAGCTGTCTCGCCTGATCAACCTTTATATAGCACACATTTGTGTATAGTCGCGTGAGGTCGGGGGCAGCCCCTCCCATTCGGGCCCCAGAAAACCCCACACTGTGTATGGTTATAGTTACACAGTCAATCATATTCACTATTCATATCGTTTACAACGTCTGTGAAAACGTACATTTGCATTTCATAACGCTTACAATGTCTGTGAAAACGTGTGTGTAGCTACGAGGAGGGTGAGCACGACGTGAGTGACGGCGAGAACAAGGAGAAGGAACGTCTGGAACGTAAACGACTGCGCGCAGAGGCACGGGCTAAGGAAGCCATGGAGGCAAAGAAGGAGGAGATGCTGGGGTATGCGAACTATATATATTTATATTATTATATTGTTATATTATTATATATATTGTGAGTACCTCTCTTTGCCACAAACAGTTTGGAACGAGACAGACCTTTGCGTAGTATTTAAATAGTTTGATAGCTCGTCAAGACGATATAGGCTGATCATGTCATATCTTTGACTTATAACACACTACGGCTGGCCAGTGTCTGTGTGTGCAGCCAGCGACAGTCCCCTCTGAATATGTTGCTATCTTCGATACACTATATACTACTTATGCATATACGGTATACATCTTCTTGTACATTTTATGCAAGTAAACTATTGGTTCAAATAATTGTAGTATATATGTAACATACATTTTACTTTTGTACGGCATTCCAACTAGCCCGCATACCTAAGAGTCCACAGAAACTACCTATATTTCTATGTAGCCATAGCTATATATCTATATCTTTATATATATATATATATACACCATGCGTTAGTCTAAGTATTGATTTGTAGGTGCGTTGTAGCGTTCGCAAATGTGAATGTATTTATTATTCGTTGTGTTACTATAATTCTGGACACATAGATGACCATTGGTCGGTGTACTCGTACGAGTGTAGCGCTACAGCACAATACGCCGCAACAGATCACCAGAATCGTTTTATTAGCAACCGCGTACGTACAGTCTCAGGTCAATGCTGTAGATATCCTACGTAGTACTAGTCACTACCACCTACCAGTCACTAGTTTTGACAGGCATGTGTGTGTGTACATACCTTAGATTACCTCCTCGTATACTATTTACTAATCCCTTATAGAATCCCACTTCCTTCTCATAGTAAATCATAGCTCATCTCCACCTATAGCTCAATTCACTCTGTACTGACTCATACTTCTAACTGAGACCACTAGTAGTAACTCCACGCGTAAGTACCAAAGAGAAATATGAAGATACATGGGAGGACATTAACGAACATACGAGTCAAACATATTTATATAGTGTACAGTGAAGATACATGGGAGGACAACAACGAACATACGAAGTCAAACGTAATCAATATAGTGATACAGTCTACGTGCGAACCTATGACCTGTCTATATACCATGTGCATTCACCTGCTCAACTATTAATCAATCATTTAATACACCAAACTAATCAAGTATTGAACACCCCCAACTAATCAAGTAATCAATACACCCAACTAATCATGTATTCAAAACACCCAACTAATCTAGTAATCAATTTACCCAACTCATCAAGTAATCAAAACACCCAACTAATCAAGTAATAAATACACCCAACTAATCAAGTAATCAATACACCCAACTAATCAAGTAATCAATACACCCAACTAATCAAGAAATCTATACACCCAACTGATCAAGTAATCTATACATCTACTATCCAGTGAGGAAGAGGATGATTTTGACATAGAGAATGACGAGAATATGATTGAGGTGGAGGGCAGTGGCGACGAAGACATTGGGTTCTCTGAAGATGAACAGGATGAGGAGGCCGGTAGGTCAGCCCGCACAGGGGCGCTTGCACTGTGTGTGTTTGTGCATGTGTGTGTGTGTGTTCATATATATATATATATATGGGTGTTTGTGCATGCGCGTGCAAAGTGTGGTACATTTCTGGGCGACATATGCGTGCGAGTGAGCTGTTTGTAGTTCCGTCCGTCATCCCTTGCAGCGCGGTTGTGTGCTTGTGGATGCACCTTGCTGATACACACACACATGATCACAGCTCACATCCTTTGCGCTTATACACACACATCGTTTGGATACACTCCTACATATACAGAACACGACCTGATTGAGGACCACGACTTCCACCCTGATTTGGATATGCGTCTGATTGAGACCAAGCGTGTTGTCAACCAAACCGGTGGAGGAAAGATCCAGTCATTCGTATCGATTGTGGCGGTGGGAAATGGGGCGGGGTATGTAGCGCACACATGCATGCATACATACATATGGTCCACATGCATGCCATACAAATGTTCGGTACCGGATTTGTGAAGTGGACGGGATACATGGAGGGATGTAAGTGTGTGTGTCTGAGATTCTGCGCACAGACGGATCATCGTGTGGCGATACACATGTGTTGGTGTTGATGTGTATGTATGTATGTATGTATGTATATATATATATATATATATGTATATTTGTATTTATATATATATTTGTGTGTGTTTGTGTTGATGTTTGTATATATATATTTACAGGTGTTTGTGTTGATGCGTATGTATATGTACATGTATGCAGATGGTAAGTTTTGAGAGGCTAGTATGTACAGAACGATTCAGATTGATGAATAGACGTGCATGTGTAGCGGAACCGAAGTACATTCATATCAGCATGTGAGGATGCACTTGTGTTCGTGTTGATGTCCATGTATGTGTACATGTACATATATGCAGTGTTGAAGTGCATGTATATGTACATGGACATATATGCAGTGTACACGTAAACCAGCAGCGTGGTCCAGAGGTGTTGTTGGAGGCGCACTATCAGATCGTGTGCATGAGCCGTTATATGTACATATGCAAGTGTACGTGTATGTGTGTATATGTATGCAGCGAAGCTTAAACACAGCACGAGAAGGTTGTAAGTAGTACATACTTACTATATGACCAAGACTAGCTAACAAGTACACATGTGCATTCGGCAGCCAACACCGGCGTAGACACTTGACACTGTGATCACAGTATACGTACTTCTCACCTGTTTGATGAGTGACACACCGGAAAATTGACTGTGTGTTACTGAACTATATACATATATGTGTGTGTGTGTGTG